CAGGCCCTTTGTAAGATTTTTTTTAAAAATCTTTTATTTACTTATTTAGTATAGTGTCTCACTACACACCTCTGACTCAGTGATCCTCCTTTCTGAGCCTGCCCAGTGCTGGGATTACAGGCATGTACTACTATACCTGGTTTTGATGGCCAGCACAGTGGCACCGCATGTGGTACTGGGGATCAAACCCAGGTCTTTGAACTTGCCAGGCAGACACTTAGACCACCAAGCTATCTCCCAAGCCCTATATGCACGTAAAATTAACACATGCACTTGAGTACTTTAGGTTGGCCATATTCCTAATTATTTAATAAAGCTCATTTAATTGTTAAATCAACCTAGGAGGTCAGCACTACTATTTTCCCTTTCTCAAAAATAAGAAAACTAGGGCTCAGTAGAATAAGCGCTTGCCTGGCAAGCACAAGGACCTGAGTTCATTCGGTTCCAGGGGGTGGGGGGGACTGAAAGGAAAAAAAAGAAAGAAAAAAAGAATACTGGAGCAGACACAATTTAAATAACTTGCCTAAAGTTGTATGACTACTAAGTGGCACTTGAAGATTCAAACCCAAGCTCTAGAGGTAATATTGTAACTATGAGTAGTGACAATATATTCAACATTGTAGCCAATATCAGTCAGGGTATAGTAGTTCTCATTGCTGAAGAGAAAGAAACTAGTAGATAATTGTCAAATATATGCCCAAGAAGGGGCTGGGGAGATGGCTCAGTAGACTAAGCACTTGCTTGGCAAGCACAAGGGCCTGAGTTCAACCCCCAGTTTCAAAAAATAAATAAACATATACATATATATATATATATATATATATATATATATATATATATATATATATATATGCCCAAGAGGTTCATTGTGAACCCTAAACTGAAAGACCATGACCAGTAGACGTGTTCAGATCCTTCAGTATAGCCCTGAAGTAGTTGGGGTGCTTCCAGGCTATGGCAGCAGAGGAGCTGTGAAGGAGCTAAAGATCTAATAGAAGTTAAAACAGTTCACTAGAAAATACTGAGAATCCTTGGCCTATTCTTATCCTTGCCTTTTTTCTTTCTTTTCTGAGACAGGGTTTCACTGGGTAGCCCAGGCTAGCCTCAAAACTCATGGTGACCTGCCTCTGCCTCCTAAGTGCTAGAATTACAGGGATGTACCACAGCTAGCCTAAGTAAGGTTCATTAAACACCTCTTCATCATTGAATTTTTTTATTTTTTTGGTACTAGGAATTGAACTCGGGGCCTTGTGCTTGCCAGGCAGGCACTGTGCTGCTGAGCTACAATCCTAGGTATCACTGACTTTAGAGCACCTATGTATTGTCTGTGTGTCAAACCGTCTTTGTTTTTGGTGGTGCTGGGGATTGAATTGTGGTCCTTGAGCATAGAAGACAAGAGCTCGGTCACTGGCCACATCCTCAGCCCACACTGCCAATTTTCTTCATCTCTTCCTTTTGGTCTTTAAGTCTGGGACCCCAGGGCACAGAGAGTTAGAAATAAATGAGAAGCACAGAATCCCTTTCCTTATTGGCAGTCAGCATTCCAAAGTGATTCCATACAAAACAGTATAACAGGATCATCTCTCAGGTTAGAATGCCTAAATTCAAATTCTTCTTTTTTTTTTTTTTTTGGCGGAGCCAGGGATTGAACTCAGATCCTTGCATTTGCCAATCCAGCACTTATCCTACTGAGCCATCTCCCTGGCCCCTAAATTCAAATTCTTGTTCAGTCACTTACTGGCTACTTGACCTTAGGAAAGTTACTGAATTTTTTTCTTTTTTTTAAAAATGTATTTGGTACAGGGTCCCACTGCGCAGCTCAGATTGTAGTGATTCTCATGTTTTTAGCCTCTCCAGCACTGAGATTAGCGGCATGCTCCACTGTGCTGAGAGTATGTGGCCAGCTCTGGGCTAGTACAGCATGTGGTGCTAGGGATTGAATCCCAGTCCCTGCGCTTGCGTAAGCATGTACTTAGTCCACTGTGCACTGGCCCCTGAATCTATTTATTCTTTTTTTTTTTTTTTTAATGTTTTTATTATAGGGTCTACAGGGTGTCACTACACATATCAGACTCAATAGTGATCCTCCTGTTTTCAGCCTCCCAAATGCTGGGATTACAGGTGTGCACCACAGGTCCAGTCTCAATTGCCATCTCAGCCCATCCCAGAGGTGAGGCCGGCACAGCACTCCAGAGGATCAAACCCCTGCCCCTGCATCTGCCTAAGCAGGCTTTTTAATCCGCTCAGCTATCTGGCCGGCCATCTTTCTTTTGGAGACAGGGTTTTGCTATGTAGTTCAGGCTGGCCTCAAACTCACAGCAAATCCTCCTGCCTCAGCCCCTCCAGTGCTGGTTTATTTTGACACAGGGCCTTGCCATTTTAGTTCAGGTTGGCCTTGAACTCAGTATGTAGCACATGATGGGCTTAAACTCACTGCACTCCTCCCATAACAAAAGCTGGGATGACAGGTATGTACAGTGCACTACCCCTGGCTAAATCTCTGGGGCTGGGGAGATAGCTCAGTAGAATAAGCACTTGCCTGGCAAGCGCAAGGGCCTGAGTTCAATTCCTGGTTCTGAAAAAAAAAAAAAAAAAAAAACTAAATTTCTGGCTCCGTCTCCTCTATAAATAGAAAATTTTTTAGTAAATGGAGATCACAGTACTTTACTCATGGGATTATTACCAACATTAAGTGAGGTAAGGAACATAAAGGTACTCAGTACTTGGCACAGAATAACCAGTCAATAGCTATTAATATTGTATACACCTCTCAAAAATTCAACAAAGTCCTTTGTGTGGTTTCAAAGGAAAAGAGCTTGATGGAGAGGATAACAAAGATTAAGTAATCAGTATATAGCTAGCAACTGACTCAACTACCCTCCACAAAAAATAGGGTCCTTTGCAAATGAAAAATGGGTACACGGCAAAAAACAAACAAAATACCCACGAACGTTCTACACTCCATTCACAAACTGTGGCAATCTTCACCTTTTCTTCTGGGTAAATGATCTCAACTCTTATCTGTTTTGAAAAGGTGGAGCTTAACACCAAGGTAAGGGTTGAGATAGAAAATCACAATACAAAGGAGTGAAAAAATATCAAACCTGTCTGCTGCCATTTCTAAATTTTGCATTCTACGAATACAAAACTGAGAACTGAATTTCAGTGATAGTTTACCATCACAGTACTGTAAGTAACATATAACCCCAGACGACCTCTAAGGTAGCATCAAAGTAACATTTATCTGTTTGGGGGCAAACATATGTTTGAGGTAAATATAACCAGAATATTTGTTTTGGGGCAAATACATGTTCCATCAATAATCCCATCTCATGTTACAATGTTTTGAAGTGACCAGACTGAGAAAGATATAGGATAATTTGTTTTATTTTTTGAGATAACAGCCTCCTTGTGTAGTTCTGGCTGGCCTTGAATTCACTAGGCTGACCTCAAAATCAGTGATCCCACTGCTTTAGCCTCCCAAGTGCTGGGAGCACCATAGCTGTTTGTTAGTTCAAAAGACCCCATGCCAGGGATATAGCTCCACCTGCCTGGCAAGTGCAAGGTCCTGAGTTTGAGTCTCCATACCAAATAAATAAATAACAACTCCACACTCATTTTTTAAAAAATGAGTATTTTTGTTAACAATAAATAGGTTGTTCAACTCATCTTTCCATTTCTTAACAGAAAATCTAAATTAAGATTATCCTAAGAGGAGAAAACTGAAAAGACTTGCCAAGGAGGTTCATAACTCATACATATATGACACTAGCCTAGATCTTAGCTGGTCAGGAGGAAGCATATTTCACTTGGGAGCATTGAGTAGGCACTAGGCCTCTTGGTGCTGCTACAGATACACAGACAACGGTAACCTCAGATTAAGTGCATATATTTCCTTAACATTCCCCCAACAATTACAATAACACTGGCAGGGCAGCCACATTTCAGATATCCTTGACGAGATGACCAAATGGAGGATATTCCCAGCAGATCTGTTTTCCACATCCTAAGTCTCCCAGCCATGGCCCCAGTTTACTGAGCAAAGAGACCCATAAGTAGCAGGCAGACAATGTTTAAGCCCAAGGAAAATGAAGTTTGCATTCACTTTCAAGGAAGGGATTGTTTCCATTGGCATATCTCTGGTTTATTTTCAGGGAATAAGAAAATCTTGGGCCGGGGAGATTAAGTGCTTGCCTGGCAAGCACAAGGGCCTCAGTTCAATCCCCGGTTCCACCAAAAAAAAAAAAAAAAGAAAGAAAGAAAAGAAAATCTCAAAAACCCTTCTTCCACAAAATACTTTGAAAATTAGAAGGCTGATTAATTTCAGTAGATAGTCTTCTGGACATTAGATCTCTTGGACCCAACTAGGTACCAATGTACTCAAAGCTGGCAAAGAGGCATTTTTCTAGCATCACGGCACTTAGTTCACCACCTTCATCCTCCACTGGGGAAGAGGACAGTAAAAGCATTTTGGAAAAATGCCCAAGAAAGGAAAAAACTGACGGTTTCCTGAGGGTGTCTCCATCCCTTCCAGCCAGTATGTGGGGACTTCCTACTGAAGGCCACCATGGGAGTATGGCCAAAACCAGTTTTCCCAACACTGCAGGAAATGTTTCAAGCCTCAGAGCCACTTGTAGGATTACCGGACTGATCGTGGGCACCGCTGCCAAGTGATGACCCCGCAGTGCCAACACCCCTCAGTTCTTTGTCCCCACGTAGCGGAGACCTGCCCAGCCCTGCCCTTGTTCCTGGCCCCGGCGCCAGCCCCACCCTGGGGCCGGAGCAGTTCCCCTTCCCCTGGGCTGTCCTCCCAAGGCACACCCAGCGGCCACGGTCAGCAGCTCCTCCTCCCCCACACGCCCGTGGTTGGTGGGAACTGAGCCTGGGCTCCAGCCCTCTACCCAAATCGTGGGGGCCACCTCGCAAGAAGCGGCCGGCTAGGCTTGGGGTTCCGCGGCCCGCAACCCCGTCCGGGGCCTCCCATCCCGTGGGTCCCTCACCGGGCGGAGGCTGAGCGGGCGACGCTGGCACGGGCGGGCGCGGGCCGCTGCTGTTGATGATGTAGTGAGAGACGCGAGAGTTCTCGGAGACGCTCAGCACATAGTCCCCGGGGCTGGTGCTCGAGTCCCGCACCAAGAACACCCCGTGCCGCTGGCCCTGCAGCAGCGCCACCGCCTCCTGCCGGCTCAACCGGCCCCAGTACCAGCTACTCCGTTCCTCCGAGTCGAAGTTGCCCGCCATGGTCGCCTTCGCGACTACACGCTGGGCCGCCGCCGCGGCGCGCGCCCCTCCAGCCCCGGCGCCCGCCGCCCAGCGGACCGGCT